GCTTTAGTAGCTCTCACGGTAGGGAAGGCACAGGTAAGGTTTTATGCGCGACTTCAGCGTCGGCATGCATCTCCACGCGTTAGAGCCGTTCAGCTCCCGCCCTCGGGCCCTTATCTGCCCCGCCGAACCCGGCGCTGGGGCAGGTAACGAGCCTGGAGGGCAAGAGTCCCGTTAAGGCCCGGAGCGGGTACTGCGAGCACCCCGTTTCTATGCACCCGTACGTCGTGGCTTCCAGCCTAGACGCTCCTAACGCCGTGACCTCCGGCTTGGGAAATGGCTGGCCAGCCAGCCTTCCTGCACATCCCACTGCCCTTGGGTGTGCTTGGCCGCTCGCTTCTCCCACGTGAGAGGGAAACAGCGGGACTGGTGCGTTAAATCTCGTACCCAGCGGGCTGGCCGGAGCATGGGAAAGGCAGGCTGAGCTCCGGGAGAGGCGCTGAAGCACCCTATTGCTTGGGAGGAGCGCGGCTGCGGCTGCGTGGGTCCCAAGTCAGCCAGGCATGGGAAGGCGTTCCTCCGCGGGCGGCGGGTGTTCCAGCCCTCCCGGCAGTGCGGGAGGAAGGTGTGGATGGTTTCATGGGCACAGGAGGCAGTGTTTGGAGCAACGTGCTAAGACAGAAGGCAGAGCTTGTCAGTGCTTCCTTGAGGAAGCTGTTGCGTGGTGCCTAACGGATGTGCGAAAGTTACGATTTATCCCCTCAGGCACAGCGTGTGACGCTCTACAGAGTGTTTTTAAAGCGAGGCGTGAAAGCGAGACCCTTTGCTTTCTAAAATCCACCCCGGAACAGCGGAAATTTTCTTTCACCACCAGCAGGGTAAAGCAAAGCTCCCCTGGAAACGGTCATTACCCCCCACATCGCTGAACCCCGTCGGCGGGCGAGCTGCGGCGCTGGCGGCCATGGCTCGGAGGGACGGGCTGGGCTGTCCTGGGCGGGACCGCGCGAAGCGGGCGGCGCTGCGGCCGACTCCCGGTGCGGTGCCGCACGGCGCCGCCAGCAGGGGGCTCTCCGCGCTCACCAGCTCACCTCCTCACTCTGCCTGGCCGGAGCCCTCGGTGGTTGGTAGTGCGCAGGTCGGTGTGTCAGGTTGTGCGTGATCCTGCTCTGGAGCTGGGTTGCTTTTACAAAATGTTGTGGTACGTGTGGATACAGTACCAGGTGGCCTAAGTGTTCCGTAGGTGTCTCTTTGCTAAAGCGAACCTGATGGAGCTCCTCATACTGTCTGCTCACACCCTCCTCTCACCCATCAGTAATCCAAGATTATTTAGGCCGTGGATTCACCGTGTATCTTCTGCAGAAGATGGCTTGCTGTGAGGGTACAGAGCAGCTGTATCTGTGCAGTTCTGTGCCTGTCTGCATCAGGTATTCATTAATTCTGGAACTTTTTTGTCATCTGTTGGATCACACAATGCATCTCTTATGTCATCCTATGTCATCTCTTAGGGGGTTTTCACTATATACTTAAATCCTCACCATGCTAAATCCTCACATCCCAAAGGGCGTGGCTTGTAGAAGTACACATTAAGGAACCTGTACAATGTTTATAGGACTGTGGTTAAAAGTTACAAAGAATTAATTTGGAATATAAAAGGTAAGTTTGGTAATTTTCAGAAGCATGTGGTGCCTGTAAGCAAAAAATATATTGTTTGTAGCTAAATATTGTAGTTGCCTTGACTCTTGAAACTGATTGCTGAAGCAGCAAATGAAGGTAGAAAATTTTGTCTTTGTCATTAAAAACAATTTCATAAGGAGAAGATGAAAATAGAGGTGAAGAAAATTATTTCCATAGACTTTGCTGACTCCCTACCGTGTATGTGATGGCTGTACTTAGTAGTTCCTAGTCTTAAAAAAAATATAAAAATAAAAAACCCCTTTTACATAGTGATCATTAATGTGTGAGTCCAATCTGTGTACCCTCCTGACCTTATGAGCCTGATTTAGCCAGAGGCACCTTTTCGGAAGAGACCGTCTGGTAGGCTCGAGGCTTCAGGATGTAGGTTTTGCACTCAGTGCAGCTTTTGGTTGACCAGACCAACAAAACGCAGCTCAAGCTGCTGCTAGGCAGTTCTTATGCCTATTTCTTTTCCCTCTTGTTGCTTTACTAAGACTGCAAAACCTGAATGCTATAGCTAGCTATCATCTCTACAGGCGCTAAGTGGAGGCTGAAGCTAACATGAGGGAGGTAGAGTTGTGCAAATTATATCATTAGTCATTGCTTCCCAGAATTATATTCAACTGATAATTTGGGAAATTCTTCTTCTTCTAAAAAAAAAGTTCTAATTTTTACAGATGATCAGAAGATCCTGATGTTTGCACAGTGTTCTGGATTAGTTTCTTGGCCTTCAAGAGTTTGGAGGCCCTACACCTGCCTTTGTTTCACATTTCTGATTTTGTGTTCTTTTAGCCAGCGATACTAATTTTAATCTCTTTTATTCCTCATCTCACCCAGAGTTGTCAAGGGGGAATTTATTTTCCTATTCACACAGATTAACCTCCTCCTGGTTTGTGAGAACACATTTCTGTCATCTGACTGACTGAGGCAGAGCTTAAAATTGTTCTGGACATTTATTTCTCTCTTTGTTTCTTCTATTCTTTTGATTCTTTCTGTTTGTGACTGGACATCCAGGTCCTCAGGCAGGGCCTTGTCCCCTGGCTAGTACTTTAAAATACTTTGGTATTTTAAAAAATTGTTTGGTTGCCTCAAAATACTTCTTTGAGCTTTGTAAGCTCAAAAAATACTCAAAAATACTTCTTTGAGGGAGGGTAAAAGGTGGGGAGCCATTGTCAAGACATTCAATTTGACTATGATTATTTTTAGTCTTTCTGAAAATATCAGTTACATCACTTTGTAGTGGGTACTTCTGAGAAGTAGGCCTGAGGCTGAATTTGAATTATGTATGTGGAATGCCTGCATGGAAGCTTGCTAGGGAGGTTAATGTTTCCAAAGTATTTTAAAACAGAGTACGTGCTATTAGATCAAGAAGGGTTGTCTGTAAAGGGATGTCCCGATTCCTGCACATAACTGGGTTTTTTCTTGTCATGCCAGACTGCTCAACAACATATTGGCAGCATGTGTTGGCCTACTTTCTGTTACAACTGTTGATTCTAAAACCCTTTCAGCATCTTAAGTGTGTGTGTGATACATGACTGCTGAACAAAAAAGCGGTAGTATGTGAGACTTTATTGGTGGGACTGGTATGTTCTCTTTGCCTTATGCGGAAAAGAGAATGCTCATTTGATACAGCATACATCCTTGGACTTGAATGGGAAAGGTTAATTTGGAAAGCATATTTGTGTTTCCTCAAGTTGCATGTTATTGTGATACCTGTAGGTAACTGGAGAGGTGGCTCAGTCCAGCAGGACTGACTTTTTATCAGGTTGCTTGGTCACGTCAGACCACTAAGACAGAGGGCTAACAACTTCCATGAATAACAAAAGAAAACACACAGTGGAGACTTTATGTCCTATAGAACCTAACAGCTAAAGGTTTGATTCCTCTTCCATTAAATGGATGAAATGTTTTGATGGATTTGTTGGCCACTGGAACACGCCTTATAGCCTCACATTATGCAGAAATCTTGGTTAATTCCAATAGAGATGAATTTATCAGGTACAGTAAGTGTTTTATAAATAATGTGTATCCCCAGACTGCAGTCGAAAGAGGTTGTGATGTAGTTTTGCTTGCATGCATTTTGGCAGAACAGAGTGATCATACATAAATGATTAGCTACTGCAACTCTGATCAGGGAAAGTGCATCCTGCCAGAAAAACAAACATCAGAACCCTTCTGGGTCATGCAGAATTATCACACCTGATATATATGCCGTTTACTGTCTTGTCTCATAAGAGGGGAACAGCTTTGAAAGTGGAGGCTTTTGTCTGGGACTCCAGAACCTCAAAGGACTAGCTCAGTCCATCAAACCAGTTCATTCACATATACCTTTTGCTTTGCTAGCTTGGTACTTTAAATATCTTTTGCACATTAATAGATGCATCTGTTACATCACAGTAGGGGCAGTTGTCTGTCTCTGTCCCAAAAGATTATTTGATCACTGTTCTTCACAGTGGTGGTGGATGCCTTTCTATAACTGTCGCCACACTGATGGCAGAATTTCCCTGAAAATACCATGTTACAGTGTTATTAGCCTTTGGGGGAGGGGCTGCAGGGTCAAGATCTTGCTTTGATTGTCACTGTTTTATGAAGGCCCCTGCACTGATGCCACAGAAGTGGCTCCTGTGCTCTGTTCCATCAGTTGGCACAGCAGCAAGCCGCCCCTCCACAGCTTTTGGAGGGGTGTGGAAGGACACATTTGGGAAAAGTGTGGTGTAATGAAGATGAGTGATGTTGAAGACTGGGCCCAAGACTGTATTAGTGTCGTTACTATACTGCTATTTATATTTTTCAGTGGTGTATGTGTTCAAAATGGCAGCGTCCCCACGGTATCGGTATACTGCCTGAAATGGCAGGTTCCTTAGGGGCCTTTGTGGATCAGTGGGCAGTAACAAATCACCTTGGGCATGCAAAGGACACCTGTGCAGTGACTGAGAGTCCCTGGTCAGCGAGGTGAGGAGCTAGGTTCGGAGTTGTGGGCCCTGCTGCCAGGGATTAGGTTTCGATTTGAAAGTGTACAGTGCCATGGGTTCTTGACTGCACAGGGGAGCCATACTGCAGAGTTCTCTGCTTCTTCAGTCCCTTTCCAGTAGTTGCACAAGGAGCAGACAAGCCAAAACATGAACAGAGTCCGCTGAATTTCAGTCACACATTTATGGAAGAACATGTGAATACACATGAAGAAATGAAGTGTGCAGGTGTTAGTGCACTGCTTCTGAGTACAAGATTTGAGTGCTTCATGCTGGTCCTATTATCTGGGTATGAGTGTTTTGGAAAAAAAACAGTATTGCTAACACGCAGATATAATGCCTCATTGTAAATTCAGTTTTTCTTTCCTTAAGGGCTTTCATAAACATGCCAGATCACCAAATACCTGCACAGCCCTTATGTTATTTTTCAGTGTGCTAGAGCTGCTAAAATGCAAATCATCACCTCATCACAGCAGAAAGGCCATTCCTCTTGAGAGAGATCATGTGACTTCAGATGTGAAGCAGATAACTTCAGCCCATCCCTTTCTCTGCCTGAGATTCAGGGTGCATGGTGACAAAACAGCTCTTCAACAGCATGCATACACTGCAGCTGGAGGGCTACAGCCATGAGCTTGCACATCAGGCTGAATGATGAACACAGCGTTTCCCCTGAATGTTTCTGAAGAGCTGTGCTCAAGAAATTTACTCTCAGGAAGCTGTTTAAATAGGTGGAGAGCAAGTGCATTGCATCTCCTAGCTCCAGAACCCCAGAGAGAATCCGAGCACCTGTTCTGCAGAGCCTCACCCGTCATTGTGCAATTCTGCTGCCAAAAAGGGGCTGCTTTCTCCTGAAAAAAAAAGAATCTTCTAAAGGTACTCCTTATAGAAAAGAAAAAGAAAAAAATTGGTATTGCTGAAGCAGAAAGAAAAAAACAAGTAAGCTTTGGGTGGGGTATATATGTATATTTTAGTTCACTTTTAAAGAGCAAATTGTCCTAATCTTATGTCTGTGTAGGGAGTGACGTATGTGTAACTGTTTATGATTTTATCCTGAGAAAAATCAGTGTGCTTTGGACTATAAAGTTTGACCTGAACTGGATCAGATATCCAGAACTTCTGAATACAGATGCAATCAGCTGGCTTTGGGACTACTGTATTTCATGTACTTTTGTTTTTAGGAAAAACTATTTTTAATATAATTTTGAACCTTTTTCTGATGCTTAACTTATATTTTATTAACCAATATGAATTTCAGCTGAAGCATTAATTGAATATTTAAACTGACTTAAGTTTTAACACATTCATTCTGGAGCTTTGCTCTTTCACCCCTTCTCCCCTTCAAGTAAGGAGAATTAACGACCCTGCTCATTAACTGCAGGGCAATGCATGGTTCAGACAAGGATGTTAACTTTTATGTTCTGGTTGGTTCCAGTTTACTAGAACCAACTTTGCTTCAGGATTTTGAGTTTTCTCCTTGCTTCCGAGAGGAATCTCCCCCTACAGGCATTTAGCATTTCTGGAAAATTATGTGATAGCTTTGGATTCAGGGTGATCTGTACCTCATTTGTGCACTTGTGTTTGCTACTTCCTCTCTTTTTAAAAAACATTCTGCCCAAAGTCTTGCCGTGCAAAAAATAGGGCTGCTTGTTTTGTTTATTTTCTGCACAAAAATGTGCAAATGTTTTGTGTAAGTGTATTCTTTATTGATTGTAAATAACACGAACTGGCATTCTTCCATCGGTTTTCTACGGTTCTCCTTGGATTTGCATGTAGTTCCTGAACTCAGCAATTGCTTGAATAATCTCTACATGTTCACACCTTTGCAGCTCTTGCTTTTATTTCTTCTTGCAGAGCATTTTTGGGCTTGGGAATATGAGTCCACCTTATTGAGCTGTTCTATATATTCATCCTATGCTCTGTCAGGCTTTGCTGGCTTACTGGTATCTTACTACATCCAGTCCCTATTGATCCTTGGCCCAAATACAGAGATCTGCCAACAAAGCCACTGCTAGAAATGATTCCTTCAGTTTTATATTGAGCTTAGCCTTGTTTCTCTGAGCAGGTTGAAGAAATTATCTGTAAACAAAAAGGCTTTCTCCTTTCTTTCACATACGTGTAACCATTGGAAGTCAGTTAATGGAAATGTCAGTTTATCCCATGGATGTAAAATAACAGAGACCTAAACAGATACTGCTTTCCCTATGTTTGATGTTCTCATATCAGTCCCTTGTCAAACTAAATTCGGTGCTAATGTCAAAATTACATTTCTTGTGGCATCACAAGGTTCTCTTTCACTCTGTTAGTTGACTTTGGCTGCTTCATCCCACTTTCTGCAGGGTGTGTCTTTTAGATAATGAAATTTTTAATTCATCTCTAGATTCCCATCCTTCACAATCTCAAGTCTGGCCACAAGACAGTTTTGAAGAGTTGTCCCGCTAAAGGTGCTAACCTATGTGTTGTGATTTAATGTCTGGGCTTTCTTAAGCATTTTGCTCTTTCCTGCTTTATTCCCCAAGCAATGCACAGAAGCAAATCAATCACAAACCCATGTCATGGTATCTCTCTGTTCTCTGCAGTCCTAATTTTCAAAGGAAAACAACTCTAACGGAAGTCTGTGAATCACAGAAAATTAAAAAATTGATAGCAAGAAGGGATCAAAGGAAAGCCCCTGTCACTGAAAGCATCTACCCACCCACCCATCCATCTGATCTTAATGGAGAAAAATGTCCCTATCTCATCATTTCTTTGACCACATGTACCTTCTAAAACATGTTGTGGGAGGAGATCATAACTACCTGTTCACAAATATGGTTGAGAGAGGAGGAAATAGGAAATGGAGGCATGTTGCTTGAGATAGCAGTTTAAAGGAAATAACATAATTCCCATCCCAACAAAAATGGTGGGAGGAGCCTTTCATTCTTTATCAAAAAATCTTTAAAAGTTTTCCATTATTCTTTAGGCAGCCAGGTCTTTATGTGATTGACAGACTGGAGGCATGATTGATTTTGTGCAGCACCTATTACATCCAGCTGAAATGGTGCTGATTCATTCTCTCTGTAAATCAGGCTCTCGCCAGATACGGTTCTGAACACCAAATTTCTGAGCACTTGCTGCAGTGTAACCTTCAGTGACTCTTACCCAGAAAAAGATCAAAGAAACAAATGGAACAAAGCAAGAATAAGAAGTTAAAACCCAGTGGCTCTTACTTGTGTGGCTTCAATATCCTCAGGCTTGATCTAGCTTACATTTGTCTGCCTGTAGCACAGCTCATGTAATTTTAAAAGGTAAGGTATGTTTGAAAGGATAGCACTCTGCCCAAAGGACCTGCAGCCTGATTTTATTAAAAGTCAGCTGTAAATCTTTAAAAGTTTTCCATTATTCTTTAGGCAGCCAGGTCTTTATGTGACTGACAGACTGGAGGCATGATTGATTTTGTGCAGCACCTATTACATCCAGCTGAAATGGTGCTGATTCATTCTCTCTGTAAATCAGGCTCTCGCCAGATATGGCTCTGAACCCCAAATTTCTGAGCACTTGCTGCAGTGTAACCTTCAGTGACTCTTACCCAGAAAAGGAGCAGCACATACCACCCTGGCTTAATTTGGTCCATGTCTATTGGCATGGTTAGAATGATATTTTATTTTGCTTCAGTGGATGGGCAATGTATTCAGTGCTTACCCATCCCAAAATTGCCTTTTTGCTGAACTGAGAGAAATATAGCAGTTTCTTGTAGTTATATCTAAAAAATGGAACAAGTTTGCAGATGTTGAATTACTGCCTGCTTTTTAGTGAACATGACAGATTCTCTCTAATGGCATACCAGTGCCATAGTATCCAGAATGCTAACACAGCATTATGTCCCAAATTCTCATACAGCTACCTTGCATCTCTGAAGCCTTTGTAATTACCTTGGTAAAAGCCTAGCTTTCCATTTCCCTGTCCAGCATTTTGGGGAGTTTTATAACGGCAAATGATTCTTCACCAGACATTGCTACACTGCACGGTGAATAGCTCACATAAATTACTCTAATGCTATAATGCTTGGGTTTCAACCTTCTTCCCCATGGAAGGCATTCATGGCCTTTGCCTGGTATTTTTCTATGTCTTTGTTCAGGAAGGCAAGGTTTGGCCTGGCACAGGAGTTGGCTTGAACCAGCATAACTGGGGGGGGTGGGGGGGGCGTGGGGGCTGGGCAGGAGAGGAGGGATTTCTCCTTGTGGAGGGGCTCATTTTTGAGCAATGAAGAGCCGTGGCCTGAAGGAGACACTGAATTTTTCCACAGAGGCTTGTTCCACTTGTTCATGATTCTTTAGTCAGACAAGAAGGGCAGAAAGTGAATTTGCTGGGCCTGGTTGGAGACCCTGCTTGCTGGAGTCTTCAATAGGTGTGGCTGGTCTGGAGTCTGGTTGTGCAGGTGGGTGGCCGGGATGGCTCTGTAGTTACCTAAGAAGCCATCAGGAAATAAGGTAGCAGTTTGAATGTTCGCTATGCCCATTTTAGGATGCAGATACTGGGACTGAAGGTGATGATTATTCCCGTGGACTAGTTCTTTGATTGTCAGATTTGTCCTTTTTCAGGTGTTTACTGATAGATATTTTTTGTGCAACTTTTCCTCCAAGATTTGAGTGTATGTTTCAGGATTCATTTACTGCTATCACCATAAAATTTATGTCCCTATGCCTCTATCTTTTTTATTTCTTTGCTCAAGGAGGTGTTAGTAGTCCGTGAATTTAGAGGTAAGTGGAGGGAAGAGTGGAGGTGACCGGGAGAAAAGCTTAAGTCATTGAAAGTAGGTTACAATGATGATTCAGATCCCTGTTTGTTGGGTCAGACCATTGTTAGCTGTGGCTTGGGTGGCATCCTGAGAAACATGATGGTTTAGTTTGGTGTTCCTGTTACCCAGTTGCAAGGCACACGCTGAAGATCATCTTGCTGCAACAGGACTTAGATCGTATGCTCTATTTGACTCTTGGTTCTAGTCTTCAGATCACAGTTCAAGTCGTGGCTGGTTGGTTTGAGATGAACTAACACCAAATCTTATTCCCCTAAGAGGGCAAGCAAGGAGACAGTATTCAGGAGAACAATTGTTTGGAGATAAGACAAATTTGAGCTATTAGCAATGTCAGTGTGTCTGATGCTGACAAAGCCACTGACTGGCTCAAAATTAATGTTACAGCACTTTTTTTTTTGATTTCATGATAGCTCCTTCAGAGCGAAGAAAAGCAGTCCATTGTGGGGAAAAAAAAATGAAAATCCCTCTTTCCTAAAATAAATACTGACTCAGAAGGTGGGAGACCCAGCTCAAGTGTAGGATGCCTTTGTGTTGTGGGATGCTGAAAAATAGCCCCACAACTATAAAGAGTTCTGCAATATTAATATAACATAACAGGACATTATATAAGAAAAGGTATCAACACTGTAAATAGTCCTGCAACAATAAATACCTGTTGAGATTAAAAATAGGTTAATTATGCATTTGTTTTTTTCTCTTATCCTGTTACTTTTACTTCTGCTATTAAAGGCAAAATAAAATAATAGTAGTTAAACATTCATCTTATGTTAATGAATTTCTTCTTTGTTTTAAAAGTCAAAAGGAATATCAATTAAACAAAATAACAAATGCAATAATTTAGACATCAGATATGCTAGAGAGAAACCTGTATCCTTGGAGACAGGGAGAGAGAGGAATCAGCGTGATCATATAAGAAATCTTTAGTTCCTACAAAGTTCAGTCTATAAGAGCATCAGTGATGTTCTTGTTACTTAGAAATTAACTTATATCTTGGAGGAATTGTGTTCATTTGAGCTTGTTGGTTAGGAAGTGTGTTGCATTAGTGAATAATAGCATTTAGTGAAGACCTAAGCAAGTACCAGGAGAAAAAAAAAAAAAAAGCCATACTACAAAATGTACTTTGTTCATTTATATAATGAAGCCAATGTTTCACTAGAAATGCAGCTGAAAATTGGATGGCTTATTTAAATGAAATCTGATGATGAAACAATTTGCTATTGCAATATCTCAGCTTGCAAGTTTGGTGGTGGTGACACTGAGAGAAAAGTGATAAATGCAGTGGCAGGGCACTTTTCAAAGCAATACAGTGTTAGAAGGGGAGGTTTGGGTTGGTTTGGGTTTTTTTAGCAGTAGTATCAGATGTAATTTAAAGTCTTAGAATTCTGCAGTTCTGCTTTTCAAATCACAAGAATGAAGAGTAACATGCCTCTCTAGTCTCTTGTCCTTACTACTCTTGTTCCTACCAGGAAATCGCAGTTGCACGTTAACTTCCAGCTAACATGTAAGGAGTAAACTGTACTAATTACTGAGTTCTTCAGTCTTGAGTGCAAGCTGATAGTAATCAGATGTGAAAAAGAAACCAAGTATGGTTCATCAGGTCCAGTTTTTGCAAGACGTGTTGTACAGTAATTTCTTATGAGTTGTAGCTATTTTAGATTCTGTGTTGTCAAATGCTTTCTTTTTTTGCTTTGTTTTCCCTCCAACTCCCTTCCTTGTTAGCAGTGCTAGGAAGAGCCTGGAGGGGTATAACCCTCATCACTGAATGAATGACACAGGAAATGTGTATAACAGCTGAAAGACACGTGCTTCATATCAGCAGCAGTTGAAACTGATGGGAAGCATTATTGGAACCATGGGGTGCAGCAGTTCTATAGCTGACAGAACATCAGAGAACGGTGAGTGCTGCCTTTGTCTTCAGGGTCAGTGGTTATCTCTGTAACACCAGAAGAGGATTGCAAGGTAATGTTTTCCCCCAGTCCTGTTGTGAAAATACTTTTTGAAAAAAAAAATTACTTTATAATTATCTTCTTTTAAAAAGAGTGCATAGCTTTTAGATGCTGGCTGAGGTCAGAAGGCAACTGTAGACCACCTCTAACATCTACAGATTGGGAAAAGATTCACAGCATCTGGGGCAGAACCTAAATTTCAGATGTATGTGTGTTGCTGTGTTACTAGCAAAACATACGGATTAAGGTATTGAGGGGGAACTTTTAGAGCCTTTTACAGCACAGGATTTCTGGGCAAATTGTCCCAATTTTCCTGCTGGTGGGTGACCCTGGTTATGAAATAAGTGTAGTAAAGCAGAGCTATTATAATGACTCTTAGAATCTGTTTTCTGCCATGCCAAGTGCCTGGCCTGCAATTCTCCATTGTCAGTCACTGAGCAGAAAGTCTCCACAGTACCTGGTTAAATGTTCAATTAAAAATCTAATGCCTCATCTCCCTGCTTTTGATCATACCGCACCAGCTTTTGCAGAGGGACGTGGGTTCCAGGATTAGCTCAGACCTTTGTTCAGATCCTTTGTGTTCTCTTTCAAGGTTTGTCATTAAAGCGCAATTTAGGGGTCTGCCAGGAACCATATTATGTGGCACTGTGCATAGTGTTAGGAGATTATTATGCTACCAGCCATGATTGAAAAGAAGGGCTTTTTTTGGCTACTAAGCCAGGACACAAGTCACAGGAAGCTGGCAACTGAGAATAAGGAGCACTTACAGGCATCCAAACTGACCGGTTTAAGGGTAGCCTTCAGCTTTGCGTACACTGCTTGGTTATCACAGCAGCATCAGCACTGTGTCACAGCAGTGGCAGTAACACGGAAGCACCTAGAGCGTCAGACATACCTCTAACTGAGAAGCTGTCCTTCCCTTTTGGGTTTGTGTCTGTGCATATATGTTTCTTGCAAGACCTCAGAGACAAGTTATTTGGGAATATTTCTGAGGGTACAAAAGCTTGCAGCAGGCATGAGGAGTTGTACTCTTCCTTGGTTTACAGCCATCAATACACACTGGTGTGGAGCCAGGCTTTGCTATCCCAAAGCTGGCTTATGATTTTGTTGTGTGCTTGACAATGTTTTGTCCTCTTCAGTTGCTGGGTGATATTCTTTCTCCATTTCAGCAGTAGTCAAATGATGCCAAACCATCATTTGGTCTGCAGCCTGAGGCTGTACATCCCTCTAATGCATTAATAACATTAATTTAACAGGTAGGGTAGGGACCTTCTGCAACTGATAACAATTATTTCTATAGATACAGTTTAGCCTAGTGTGAAAATCGTGTTCTAATTCAGTCCTGAGAATAATAGCGCTGTAGTGAGTACAATTAAAAACAACAAAACCCTCACAAAAATACAAACAACAAAAAAAAGAAACCCAATCCAAAACAAAAAAAAAGCACACCCCCCCCCCCCCCCCCAGAAAAACAAAAACAAAAGAAAAAAACCCAACCCAAAATATTCTGTTAGATTTGCAACATTAACCAAAGAGCTCATTAGATACCTGTCTTATGGGATACTAGTGGAATTGTGCTGTATTAAGTGTTCAGGACCATTAAGCAACCTAGGGGGGCTTTAATAACGGGAAGTTCAATGCTTCTGATGCTGTAAATCAGTTTCTGTGCTGGTGGCTGTGCTTTGCCCCTTAGGTATTCTTCTAAAGAGAAAAGTTGATGACAGCTGTGCTGTGATGTGTCAAGCTTTCTGGTGTGTGGTGGTGGTGATGAATTCCAGAAAGGACAGAAATTAAGGAAGATCTCAGAGTTTATGTAGGGTACAAAGGATGTGCTTAGTCATATAAGGATTACATTTCTTTCATGCAAGAGGACTTTTCTAGGATGGATGTGATATCTGTTGCATGGGGGTCTCTGCAGACTTTTGGCCTTGTCTGGACTAGAAAATTTTACCACTTTAACTGTGCTGTATACTTATTAATGATAAAATAAGCAAAAAACCCCATGCTATTATGTCACTTCTAAGCATTTTTAGTTTAAAAAAGCTTTCTTAATTTTATGCATTTATTAACAGAATCACTTTTCTGTGGAGATTTTTCTTTACTTGCGTAACTGTCAGTTTAAGAAAGAAAAAAATCATTCTCACTCAGGGGTGCCACTTATCCTAGTCTCTTCTTGGTATTTGTGATCAGCTAAAATAATTGACTAGTGTAAACTGTTGTCCCTGTGGTACAGAGCTTTTCTTTGCAATTTTGCAGGGAGAAAAAGTATTGGTATGAGTTCTTGTTTTGCTTTTGAGTATCAACTGTGCAACTTCAAGTGAGTAAATGTGACATCTCTTGAAAGCAGCCTCTTACCTTGCCCTCCTTTTTGTTGCCAGGCAAGGATACGGTGGTGATGTTGTGGTTGCCCTGGGACAGGTTTAGGGAGCCAGTAGCCCTATGCTCTGTCTTCCTCTTGCTGTTACTCAGTGATGCATGTAATACCTCTTGACTGCCCCTGTTAGTGGTCCATAGGGCTAAGCACGTTAATGCAGAGTCTCCCTCTGACCATAATTTAAGCAAATGTCTAGATTTGAATTTGGCATTATTTCAGCTGCTCCATCTTCAAGGCAGTAGCTGTATTTTATTTCAATATTGTATAACAAATGGTGTCCTCCTTTGGATGATAAATCCATACTTCCATATGCCCAAAGTAACTGAAAGGTGCATTTATTATTTTCTAGCTGATCACAGTTTACAAGTGACTGAGGAATGCTTTTCTCAAAGTTTGTTGATCTTTCTTGATGAGCACCCTTAAAGTACTAAAGAGTCACAACTCTGTGAAAAGCAGAAGCTGCTGCTGAGCTCATCTGCTCCTCCTCTCCCAAGATCATGGTTATTTCAGACTGAGTACAGCCCCTCCAGACTTCTGCTTTCACTCTTCCCTCTAGTTCTGCAGAATCTGCAGTGATCCCTGGTAATGCTGATGGCACACCTGCCCATCTTTCCTCTTGTCTTCCTGCTGGTAGTGCCCTGGCTCCTTAGAGCTGCTGCCCTTTGGATACCAGGAATAGCAGGGGGGATTGTGGGCATGGTGGTGAGGGATCAAGTGAGCATTAGCTCCTGGAGCTCCTGTCCCCCTGCATGGCTTTTGCTGTTGTCCACTGTTCATGCAGCATTAACTGCTTTACATAGATGTGAGGAGTTCTCCCCATGGGACAGTGCCCATCCCAGGACCTTTGTGCCGTCAGATGTTGTTCTGCTTGATAAACTTCTATCTGAGCAGCTAAGGGAATGTGATATGTTTGTGGTATGACTGGGGCCTGTAAACAGATTACACTGCATCCATGTGTACTCCATTCCTTTCTGTTTTGACAGTCATTAGATCTGCTGTCCTTATCCAGAATTGGTACCGCTTCAGAATGGCCCAGCTAGAGATGAGGCGGCGCTATTCTCTGAGTATCTTTCAGTCAATTGAATATGCTGATGAGCAAGATCAACTACAGGTTTGTAATCTTCAATTCTTCCTGTACCAGCACTTAAATTATCCTAGAGGACTAAGTTGAAAAAAAAAACCACAAATGGGTGTGCTGTTATTTCTCCCTACAAATCTGTGTCCTGTGTATAAAAACTGCTTCCCTGTCTCACACATAAACTAATTAGGTTGTGTGTATACATACATGTATATACATGTGTGTGTGTAAGTGTGTGTGTGTGTGTATATGTATATACATAACTACATAAGCACCAGGACACCATTCTGCCCATGCAACTATATCTAGGTTAGAGATTCCTGTATAACAGCTCTGTTAGCCAGGAATTGCAGGTCAATCCCTATGGGTGATCTTAACTGCATCTGTGAGGCAAGATGTACAACAGGGATATCAGTCTCAGCATGTCGGACCAGGCTTCCTTTGGGATAAAAATGGGGAATCAGGAACTTCTAGGTCTTTGTGTTCATTGTAGCATCAGTGTCTAAAATCAGTTTGGTGTTTGTAGCATTATCTTTCTATAGATTCCAAAGGAAGCCTATGCAAATCGTCTGGGTGATGGGTGAGATTAATTATATCCAAAAATGTCAGCAGCATTGATACAGCCCTGGAACTTTTTATGTATTCATGTAGTGTCAATCTGCGAATTCCTAGCAAAGAAGGAAAGCAGAAAGCAGTTTTTGTAATAGGACACAGGTTGTGCTATTATTGCAGGCTGATGCTATAGGATCATACAGAGGTGTCTTAGATCCCCCTAAATGAGAAATTGCTAGTAACTGTGTAAGGAAAGAGAACATTACTGCTCTTTGATCAGTGTTTGTTCTTTTCTTTTCTGTGCTCAGCTATCCAACTTTTTTACATTCATGCTGGATCACTGTACTCCAACTGATGCAGGTAAGGATAAAAATTAAAGTAATATGGAGATTCTGACTGAAAACCCAATGTGAAGAATGTTTATTTTCAATGTGATGCTTACAGCCTACTTCACAAGCTGGGCTGAGGTTTGATTTCCCAAATAATAAGAATTATATAAGTAATTATGAAGAATAATAAATAATAAGAATTTGATTCTGTAAATGTTGACTCTGCTAAATATCTATTCAGTGAGTCAAGATGTAAGACAGAACAGATACTTCTTTGTCTTTATGAGAATACTCAGAAGTGCTCAGAGGGCTTTCTTGTATGTTACTGCCCTTAAGCTGTCCTAATGGTAATCTTACTGACTCCAATTTTTTAGGCATGTTTTCTTAAACTACGAGATGTAATTATCCAGAAAAACTGTGTCTAGTTGATTTAGGGCAACCAAAGAAGTTGCCTTCAAAGAGGTTGTTCTTCTTGTTCTGTCTTTTCCTTTTTTTTTTTTTTTTGAACCCTGAAGCAGTTCTGAATCACTTGTTAATTTAATTTGCTTTAGATTTCACTGCAAAACATATGTCAGTATGTGAATGGTCAAAAATGAAAGACATTTACACTGCTGGAGATAAATCTTTAGAAACCTTCTCAATTAAATTTCAGTTATTCAGAGAATAACCCTTAATTCTTGAAGTATTGTGGGATCCTTGGACAAAACTTACTTTTGAGGTCAAGCTCAGAGGAAGGACAGACTGAAAGTGATTCCTAAGTCCAGAAGACAAGCATGACTTCCCTGAATAAACTGAGAATATGTCTAATCCCAGTGTTTTTTTCCCCTTCCTATTGAATTACAAGAGAATGTCCTTTCTTTTTCATCTGGTCCAGCCACAGGTTATTCCAATTAAAATTTGCATAGGAAGCTTTGATAGCAAGATAAAACCACTATCAAATTCATAAGTGGTTCAGTGTTCTAATGGCAACCATTATAAATGGCATTTTTTTTCTCTTAAATACTTTAGAGTGCCTAATGCTCTCTACGCTCTGCAGAAAAAAAAATTGTGGTTGAGCCTTGCTCCAAAGCCAAGGCAGATGATACAACATTCCAGACTATTGTATCCAGTCAGACACAGCCTTCTTCATCTACTTCTTCTACATGCAACAGCATGCGCTGGAGTTCAGGTGTTCCACCTGAGTGGGAAAGAAAATAGTAGTGCTAGGTTTGAGATTTGGAAAAATAGTGTTAATTTCTATTTTCATTATAATATTTAAAGAGAATTTTACAACTGCTCATTTTAGATATAATTTATCCACCTTTATTAACTGTGTCTATGGATAGAAGGAACAAAGGTGAGGTGCTTTGGGTGACTTGCTGGGGCTTAGGACATGACTGGTACAGAGGACACTGCTACATGCATAGACTGTTCATGGGCAAGTGGAGATCCAGGCCCTACCTGTGCACAAGAAAGGACAGAGGGTTCTGTGGGTTGCCGCTTGTCACTGCTGAGTAAGTGACCCGTTTCTTGGTCTTCAAGATATTGGGAGTTGCAAGCATGGTTTAAAGGATGAAACACATGATAAAGTGTGTGGTTTCTGGTAAGCTCGCCTTTGTCTTGTTTGCTTAAAACTTTCATCTGTCAGGACTAAAGTTGGTAAGACTTAATAACTGCTCCAAGGGCTTTATTTTTGTCTTGGTTTTTTCATTTCCCCCTTTCTAACTCCCCGGGTTACAGATAACAGAACCCAAAATGGAGTGGAAAGATTCCAAAAGGTACATGTTTAATAGAGAGACTGCTGAGTCTTTCTATTTATGTGCTATTTTTTTGAGAAATTGCACATACAATTTGTGTTGTGTGGTTTGTGCTTATGTTAGTCCAATTACTGGCTGTGTGCATTCTTTACTTCAAGATCAATTGCTTGACCCTCTTAAGTGACCTTTGCAGCATTCATGATAGCCTATCTCTTTAAGCAAAATCAGTGCTGCATAGAGTAATGAACTGCTTTCAATTTCGCTGAATCATGGTCTTAAGATAGGAGCCACAATGAGTGTAAACATAACAAGCAGAGAGGCTTCAAATTGGCCTTGCTGTTCTCAAGCATTTTCTAAACCCCACTATTCTCTGGCTTTTATTTCTTTCTTTTTTTTTTTTTTTTTGCAGTGTGTGCTCACTTAAATTTGAACGATACCACATGGTTCAAAAGCCCTTGCCAAAAAGAGAGTATGTAATATTCTTACCAGAGAATAGGTTGCCTGTTCATCTCAGTATGTGATGAGAAAGCTACCTGAAGATTTTGTGATCTGTTTTTCTGTACATTATAAACTGCTGTCTCCACTATTCATGTTGTGACTTTCCACTTTTTAATCTGCTCTTTCAGAATATGTTTTTCAAAGAAAGAAAGCAGCCACTGCCTCATTAACACAGTAGTGCTTTTGATGTGACTGTTTGTCTGTTGTTCCCTAAAGTTTTCATCATCCTCTCATCCTGCTTCAAATGCCAGTGCAGTTTAAGTTGTGATGGGGACATTCTATACTTGTGTGTCTTGTTCTGCTTCTGATTAAAGGCTGTTTTCCAAAGATTTGTGAGAAGTAAGAATTAAAACTTTTCCACCTTACACTTTTCTCCCTCCCCAACTTGGAAAATTCTCTGGACAGAGAAAGCTGGACACTGCTTTTCCAGGTAAAGGGGACTCATTTACTCACTCTTCATATGACGCACTGAGGGTGAGAAGGCTGCAAATACGTCCTGGGCAAGGTAGTGTGACTGGGGGTCTAAGGCATCCCTGTGCCTCTCAAGGTAACTGAGGCAGGAGCCACACACCTCCTGGAGCCTCCTTCAAAAGGGAACAACAAAAAAAAGGTGCTGTTTTCTGCAGTTTCACTCCCCTTGATGCCTCCCTTACAGCCTTATTAACACCCTTCAAAGGCTTTTTGCATAGAGTGATTCTTACAGTGGGGAATAAGTCACAGCTGCTTTCAGCTTACAGCACAAGGAATGGAGTGAAGAAATGAATGTTTGGAGCATTATAGAAATCTTCATTCTCTTAGTGGGCTTGAAGTCCATCTGGATTTGACCTGATGGGTGTATCTGGCAGATATAAGATTCCTCAGGAATCAGGCACTCTCAGGTACCCCAGTGGTTAGTTTGAAGGCACATGGATGGTGGGAGAACAGAGAGCTTATTTCAGAGCTGCAGAAATAGCTGATTGCCTGTTAACCCTAATAGTGAGTACATCCTTAGCAGTGGCATCTTGGACTTGCCTCGAACAACTCCCATGGTGAGGTGGTCTTGTCAGGAGAATGAGATTCCTGGGTTTTCTGTGGCCAGACTAACTCCATGTAGCTCTGGGTTTTCATGTTTAATATGGAATATGGCTGTTGTCCTGTAGAGTAGTTGTATGGGGTCTAACAGCAGGGCTCAAATCACTGAGATTGGGCTGGATCTCTGTTGTCTTTGGAGTACAAAGCAGGTCACTCCCTGTAGTCAGCGGAGAGATGCAGATGCTGGCAGAGGGTATTTTATTTTGTCTTAAGACCTCTGCCTGAACTAGGCACGCCAAGAGTTTTTGTCCCCGTCTTTCAATATGGACTGAAAAAGCCTTGACAGCCCCAACTAGAGGATGACTAAAATGAAAGAGGTGCTGAATCCTTCAGAATTACTCCTGCATGCAACTTGTGGGGCACTCATTGGCCAAAGTGCCAATTCCCAGGCTGCGTTAGGGCATCTATTACTGACTTCCTATTCAGGAAGAAGCCTTAAAATCTCGGTGGAAGACTGTCTGAGAAGAGATGTAAGTGCACTCTAAGGCTAATGACCATGACTGGCTTTTGACAATTTATCCAAAAGTAGGAAATGGGGTGTACTTTTGCAGAGATATGCCCTACAGGGAAGGAGACTGAGTTTCCTAGCCTGGGTATGTGCCAAAAAAGGCAGAGAGGCTGTGAGGAAAGCAGGTTCATGTTCAGAGGTAAAAGGATGGGTAGCCTGCTATATGTGGGAAGGGAGGGCTGGAATAGGAGCAGGTGTGGGCAGGTGTCTGACTGCCTTGGAAGAATCTGGTCAGATGATGAGAGCCTCCTGCCAGAACAGGTAAGCAATTAGGAATTTGAGTGGTCTGAGAAACTGGCTTTGTGGTCTGCAGCCACCCACTTCCAGAGAAGTAAGGCACAGAGGGAGATGCTGTCCAGAGATCTGCTGCTAAAAGGCTGGGACAAGACTTGGTGCAGGTGTGCTTGGCTGATCAGTATGTGATCAGGGAACCAGCAGTTTCAGTCCATGAGTGATGTTCTGGCATCTGGCCAGACAAAGCTGTAACTGTAGTGGAAGGTTGCAAATCAGACTGTACTTTGTGGAAACTATGAACCCTGAGCACCTTGTTGTTCCCTGATGCCTTAATTCATTTATGTAGCTGTACACTGAATGTGCTAATCAGCTCACAGCAGAAGAGCTGATAAATAAAGCTTTTTTTTCTTTCTTTTTTAATCCAGAACTGATAAAAAGTTCTTTGTTATCTATTTCTAATATGGATTTTATCCAGTTGCAAGACTAGTTGGCCTCCCATATTTTATGAAGCCACATGCTCTTTTAGCTGCTGTGACTTTTGAGTCACAGTTACAGGTATTCCTTCAGCAGTAAATAATACATTTTTATTCCACTTGCATCTAATTAAGGTTACAGAAAACTTACCTGTAGCCCAGCAAAAAGCATTTACAACAATCGTCTCACAAGAGCAGCTCTGCAAGAGCAGCTGCCAGAACACTGTCCTCTAGGGACTGGTTCTCTCTTTTAGAATAATGTATAATAAAGACAATCTGCAAGAAGAAAATACTGAAATCTACTGTTCACTCAGTTACATTTCAAGGATATGTCAAGAAAATATTGAAGTAACATGCCTGCTTTCTCCATGTATCAGGAAAATGAGAAGCTATGCTCTACTTTTACTGTATGGTCTTGTTTACTTTATTTCATCCAGAGGTTTTATGGCAGCTAACCAAAGCTGGCATTGTGTCCTAGTTGTATGAGGAAGGAGTGCTTTGCAATCTACTGTGAATAAATAGGATTCTGTTGATGAAATTTTAAATAATCACTGACCTGCTGGTATTTAGCCTTAAAGTTTTACATAGAAAATAAAAGTGAATCTTTAAAACCTGTATTAGAAGTGTTATATTGAACATTAAACAGATGATGGTCACTGAATGATCAGCCATGACTTTGTAATCTCCTTGCTTTGTGGGGGAAGGAGAAGAAAGTCTGTAGCATGTTAGGTTTTTCATGATTGCTACTGCTGAACCCAGGACATTATCTATGAGAGCAGATTGGTCCACAGCATCAGTACAAAATGTTTTGCATCTTGGCCACAGCTACTGGCTATTGGGACAGAGAGTTTGCCTGTTTTTTCATTTGATTGGGTTTTGCTTTTTTTGTTTGTTTGCTTGTTTTTAGTATTGTGAAACAATCTGGGGACACCTGGAGCTCTTGACTATATAAGGCCACTTGTAATACTGCAGCAAGTAGAGCATCATTTAGTTTCATCATTTCTAGTCATGCTCTTACAGCCCTATGTGGATCAGCAGAGTTTCTACATTGTTGTTTTTCTTCCCTCTTTTCCAGTTTCTGAAATTTTTGCCAACCCTAAAGTTTCTCATGTGGTAGAAGAAGGCTTAAGTTTAACAGAATTTGAAAAGAAGATTGATGTTCCAGACTCTTATTATGGACCCCGACTCTCTTTCCCTCTTACTATTAATGATGCCAATGCTCTTCTTCATGCTTTCAAGAGTGAACAAGTAAGCTACAAGTAGTTTGATTTTAATTTTTTTTTTTAAACTTGTTTTATGTCTCTGTCAAGTTGTAGTTCCACAATCAGTTGAACACAATATAAGGCTAAATGGGTGACCAGGAGTTATTTCACCCTTCCTTACCATCCCATTACCCTCTCCTGCTAGCCCCAAGTGATCATAGAGGTGCATGGTGACCTGTATTTGGAAACTGATCTAGCTTGAAGCTACCATGACAAAATCAAAACCAGTCAGTTCTCAGACAGACTGTTTCTCAGATTTGACTCACTATTTGGCTGCATGACCACCAGAGCCAGCAGTGGGGAGGGAGCAGGGACTAGTTGGGACCTGCTCTTCAGGCACTGAGATTACAGTGATCATGTAATGGGAGCCCTTAGCAGCTGCAAGGCAGGGGTTATCACTGAAGGTGCAAGACTGGGGAAGGTGTCCTAAGCTAACTTAGAAACTAGTTACCATCTTTTTCTGGGTTAAAAGTGCTTTTCGAATGGTCACCTTGTTCCAGTGTGCAAGACTCTACCATAATAAAAGAGTGAATATAAAGCATCACTAATGTAGTGGAACAGGGTGATAGCACAAATCTCAGGAGCTTACTGTCTGTGGCTGCCAAGGCATGGAGAAGGCTGTTGATTCTCTATGTTCTCGAACACGCTCCTTCACTGCCCTCTATAAGATGAGAGTGAGGCAGGGAAACATTGCATGGCACAGCTTTGTTTGAACTTGTGGTCATTTGTGCTTAACCAGTATACTGTATGTAAAGGATAAGGGTCTGTCTTGCTTTTTAATTTACTAAATAATGGTGGTTGGTTGTTTTTTCGTTTTGGGTTTTGTTTTTTTTTCTGTAATTTTCTGTGAAGGCTGATCTTAAAAGTAGTAAAATATAAAATACATGTTAAATAAGCCCACCCAGGCTTCACCTTACTGTCAGCTCTCTCTTCACTTACTGTGGCTGGCATTTTATTAAGGAAATGACTATATGTAATTGGCCTACTTTTTTGCTTTAAACCACAAATCTTGAAAAGTCAGTCCATAGCTCATCTGTCTCCTCTACCAAATTTCCTCAGAGTTGTTTGAGTTAAATGCCTTAAAAAAATCACAAACTGACAAAATTTTCATAAAGATAACTCTTGCTGGAGTTCCCCTCTCATATTTGCAATTTGCTGAAATATCATTTATGGCCTTTGTTGGGGGTTTTGCTTGTGTTTTTGGGTTGTTTGTTCTTCTTTGTTGTTGTTGGTTTGTGTTTTTTGTGTTGTTTGGTTTGGGTTTTGTCTTATGTTTTTTGTTTTTTTTTTAATTCACACCTAGATTTTTTTTTTTTCTTCCCTCAAATTGCTTTAAACAGATGACCTTATGTAATGATTCAGAGTGCTGTAAAACTCACTCTTTTATCCTTTCTGTAGGTGGGAGTAGTAGAAACAGTACACTAGAAATAAAATGGGAAAATATGTAAAGCAAGTTCATTAAGGGCTCTACATCCATTCACTGGGAAGCAAGTGCAAGGCTATGAACACCTCTAATCCCAATGCTAAACCATACAGCCTGCAATCAGATCCAGCGGTCTGTAGTATAAGTAATCTTGGCAATACATGTTGGAGATTAATAAAGCAAACAGACGTTTTGCTACGTCTAATAAGTCTTCCTTTTCTCCCTGCATTTTTTTTTTTTCCTCACAGCTGCTTCATGCCCGTTATGTACTGCAGCTGCTATATGAAACTAGGAGGGTTCTCAAGGAGATGCCAAATATCACCCGTATTTCAACTTCCTACTCCAAGGAGATAACTGTCTGCGGTAAAGTGCCAGAGAAGATAACTGCTTTGGGCTATGAGTTGATATTCTAAGTGGTTAGAAAATGATACAGACATTTCCAAGTGTTGCCATTACAAGGAAGTTCTTGATGCTTTTGTTTTGGTTTTGGTTTGTTTTTTGTTGTTTTTTTTTCCCCTACAAATGCATAAGTTGGAACAACAACAAAAAAAGGTTCCTGAGTCACACTGAGTACATTTTAAGAAAGTCCCTCAGCAGCTCTTTCCTTTTCTCATTAAACATTCCTGAATGAGTCAGTATTAATTCAGCTAGCACTGCACTGTAGCTTTAATATTCCTGCACAAATCTCTAAAATGTCACAGAGTATTCTGATCACTGGTTGCAAGTCTCACTGCTTTCTCCTCTTGCTGAGAAAAAGATTTTGCCATCAACAATTTACTCAGTAATGATTTTAATGAGGACTTAATAGGGGTGGCAAACAAGGCCTTTCACTGGCAGCATGACTATCTAGTATAAATTGAAATTATAATAAACCCTCATTTCTAAAGGGACCCAAGAGGATGGATGAGTGTTTATACAAGCAACAAATTAGTCTCACAGAGTGATGTGATGTGATGTGATGTGTCACAAGGTAGAGAACTAAGAGCTCATTGCCCATTTGTTTTGTAACACTTCTGTAAATCATGAATAAAGGGATGCAGTATCCTGATTCACAGAACATAGTATCTGCAAACCAGAACAGTAATGGTGACGTTAACTCTTGATGGTTAGCAGTGTGCTGTGTGTAATGGTAAAGTGATATAAGGAGGGGTACTGTGACGCATGCAAAACACATGATGCTTTTGAAGATGTGGTTATGCACCTACTATGATTGCCAGGAAAGGGTTTGTTTAAATGAGGTTTTGTATAAACAATGATTTGTTAACCAAGCCAACAAAACCTCTCTCCAAACTAAAGCAACACAGACTTATACTTGTTTGTTACATGTTCTTAATAAGCATATTCTTAGTACGCAGAATGTATGTTAGTATTGCATTTTAGTATTACATTTGCATTATGTAAGGAGCATCTAAAGGGGTCCCTTTCCTGCACCGAAACTAATAGCTTTTGTAACCGGAAAGATCCTCTGCAAAAAGATGAAGGATCATTTTTCGGACATAATTGATCCAAAATGTTGATTTCCTTAATATAAGGAAACCCCCCTTCCCTTTTTTTTAAATTTCAAACTAATAATGCAGATTAAAAACACATGTGAAAAGTTTGCATCCATATAAGGATTACTTAGAATGCCTTCAGCAGGGTCATAAGTAATAAAAAGTTGCACAGAGAATATATAGACAGGGTAAAAACATCACTTTTCCTACTATTTGCTAGTGGAAGGATATTATTACAAGATCAGTTTGAAACTGTGCTGTGGCTTTTCGGTGGTGAGTCACAGACATGAGGTTGGTTCTGTGAGCATGAAATTTAGTCATATGTGGGGGGAGCTCTGCTGCAGTGATTCTTTGTGTTGGGGTGAAATCTGTTCAAAAATAAACCTGTCAGAAGGAGCCAAATCTCTCATTCCTGTCTCAGTACTGAGGCATACATCGTACATAGTCTCCATCAGATCCTGCCTGTAGTAATCAAAACCTGGCTGTGAATCGGACAGATGTTCAGTTGTGCTGTAGATAGTGGGCTACTTAATAAATTTAAACCTGTTAGTATGTAGAAGTCAATCATATGTCTAAATGTCTTTTAGTGACATTTTCTGGTTTTCATATTTGTAATATGTTCATCTTAACCCCATTTCCCTTGTTGAACCTCTGGCTGTGTGACTGGTCCAATCTTCAGATCTAGCTGGGAAGACAAAAACTTTATGCAAGACAATTGTAGACTTTTAAAGTATTTAATTGCCAGATTTTACAAGCAGCTTCAGCTTGTACCTTAAATGAACCTGATCCTAATAAAAAGCAAACTACTTAGGGAGAACATGGGGGAAAACATATTCAGACTAATTCCAGTTTTATAATTCCATTTTTTCTTTTTTTCTCCTCTGTGAGAAAATGTATTAAAAAAACGCCAACAAACCCAACAACAAAAACCCATCTTTTTGTTTCCTGTAGGAGATTTGCATGGAAACTTGGATGATCTTTTGCTGATATTCTATAAGGTAAGTAGGTAGCCTGTGATGTAGCGTTTTTATTTCATGACTTGTTGTTAATAACATGTATTTATGTCTGATTTATCACTGTTAGAAATGTACATGCCCTGTGCATGTACCACACACACAGTCGTGGAACAATTTGAATGGTGCCTTTGTCATAGCTTTTCCTCTCCATATCCTCCTGCTCACTGTGAAAAGGGGATCCAGGAGGTCTTTCTCTTCCTAAATGTTGAACTGGAGCAGAACCAGAACTCAAGAGGGTTCCTTACAATGTCTCCGAAGTCCTGCTGCTGTTTTGTATTCCGTATTGACTAAAGTCTTCTAAAATCAGGAGCTAACTTAGTTTCTTATGTAACAGTACACCACGGATAATTTGGCCTTCCAGAAAAAAATGCAGAAGCTTTCACTTAGGCCTTCCATTGATATCTGCAAAGTGGTTTTTATTATTATTTGTTTACGGGAAACAAAAAGAATTCTCTGTTTAAAAGCTTTTTAAGTGCTGGAAGCAATCACATAGTCTGCACAAAATGGAAATGCCAAGGGCACCCTTCACATATCTCTGAACAACTGATCACTTTTTAATGTTAAAAAAGCTTATCTCTGTTTAACTGATGTGAAAAAAATTAAGCTCCAGGCTATTATTTCCACAATTGTATGTTTACTGAAGATGCAGGAAATTTCCTGTATTTAGTTTCCCATTTATCTTTAATGTGAATCGCCACCTTTCATTCAGCAGATACTTTGATTTGAGCTTTCCGGGGCGGGGGGAAAGGGTTTGTGTCTGACACATTCATCTGCACTGAATGGAGACTGAAGTGACCTAAACCAGATGTTTAAGTTATGTAACTGCCTCCCCCCTCCACCCGACCCCCCTCAACTTTGTTATATTTTATCTGACAGTTGTTGAATGGCAACTTTGTTCTTTTGCCCAGGTGCATACCTGAAGCCTGTTGAAGTATAATCAGACTCTGTAAAAGAGTTCTGCTTTTCTCATCAGTTACATTTAGCTGGTCCTTGGCTTGCAGTCTCTTTACCGTCTAATTAAAATATTTGACAGTCTTCCTTTTTGAAATTGGAATAAGAGTAGGATACAGCTTGGTTTCATGCACAGGATGTGGCATGGGGAAAGTAACTATGTTAAACATAAATGCGCAGATATATATACAGCTGCAATCAGCCTGAGTTTTACTCTTTTGGAGGAAACAGATGATGATGCTTTTTCCCCTTTCTAGCGAATGTTACAAAGAGAAAAACTCTAAGAAAGGACTAAATCCTGACTTCAGTAAATTTGGAACCAAATCTCCCACTGACTTCAGGGACTAGATTTATCCCCTAGTTGTTCTTTGTTAAGCTTCTAGGGGAGTCCTTCCATCAAACCTAATAAAATGGACAAATATTTTGTCATTTCAAAGCGGTTGAGAAAACAGAGAGCACATGATAGAGCTGCTTAGTTATTTAGAAGCAAATTAAACAGCACAGTATTTCATTTCCCCTCTGAGTAGTTCACTCAGCTGAGCAGTGAACCCAGTCAGCTTCTGGGATCCATTTTTTTTATGCTTTCCTAACACTATTTCAGTTGGAAGGGATATCCTCCTCTGAGTTGGTATGAACCACCCATAACCTAAAACAAGTGGGTACAATCCAAAACAGTGCCATGAGTGAGGAGTGTAGTGAGTTCAGGCCTGCACAGAGCTGTGCAGAGCTAAAATGGCTGCTGTAGCATTTGGGCCACCTGCCTGCATGTCAGGACCTTGAGCGTGGGCTCCATCCAGGGAGCTTTTATCACAGCACTTTTACAAGCTGCCAACAGCAAATGCACAGAAGCTAGCAATCTGCAGCTTATCAATACAGTGCTGCTTGTCATGCTTAAACCTGGTTTGAGTGAGGGTAGGATAACTACTTTTTTTCTCAACAGCCAGTTTGAGGCTCGTTCAGTCCTTGCATTAATCTCCATTAAATTACAGCATTTCCTGAAATTCCTTGAAACATTTGAATTTTAAATTATGTATTGCTCTATAATGGATGCCATGGATAGAAATAGCCTGAAAAAAATGCAAACGATGAACAGAAGTTAATTAATCACTAACCCAGCAGATACAGTAATGATGCCCAGCAGCAACTTGCTAGTCATTACAGGGCCTTGTTCGCCTCTGACATGTCAGAGGCTGCAAAGGCCTTTAATAGTTTTGCTCTTATTGTTGGTCAGAACCACAGAAAAGGAAATAAAACTTTGCATGAGTGTTAGCATCAGAACAAAACTAAAATTTCACATTGAAGTTGGAAGTCCAAAACAAACTTATTTAAAACTAAGAGTGGTAGGTAAGCTTTTCCAGAGAAACAATGATGGAGTCTAGAGAGTGCTTCAGTAGATTTGTTTTTCCATGAGGACTCCAGTTAGGGTGGCTGTCTGTATACTGACAATCTGCTCATGATTAATATGCCAGTCGGTGTAAAGGCACAGCTTTTATTAACTCGTCTTTCCAGGAGCTGCTTCTGAGCCCTTTCTTTTTGTTCCACACCTGAAATACATCCTTTCTTTTGTAAAACCACTACGACCACTGCATTAGCAGAGTCTTGTGAATTGCCACTCTTGTGAGCAGAGAGAAACCACAGGTGTCCTCTAAGTTAACTTGGATAATGCTGGGGAGAAGCTATAGTAAAAACCAAGCAAGCAGTATTTACAACATTTGGGGTTGTACCACTGTGGCCATCGAGAGACCAGGATTCACTACTGCATTCTGACATTAACAGCACAGGATGCTTGACTGGGACAAAAAAGACTTTTCTTAATGAATTTAAATTAAACATTTAATTGAGTCCCTGGCCAAATAATACATCCTGCAAGAGACCTGCTAAGGCAGTACACTCAAGAATACCATAGGAACATAGGAAATGTTGGACATTGGCACAGTAGATACATTCAGAAGTGGGATGTTTTGCAATGCTGCCAAACCTGTTAAGAGTGGCTGCCACAGTTGTAACATGATTTTATAGAGGTTCTATTGATGATTCTTGTGCATTCAAATGTGAAAAAAAAAGTTTCCTTTTTCTAGCACTCAAAATTGAAATCATATTTTGATTTTGATTGGAAATGATGAAGCTGTAGGTAGTTGCTGCTATACTTTCTGTAAGCTGATGGCACTCACTAACATGTTGATAACTAATCATATTAAACATACCATCAATTCACAATACTAGTTTTTGATATGTCACCATTCATGATAAAGCATCTTCAGAAAAAAATAAGGTAAGAAATACTTGCATTTAGCCTCTTTCCTCTAGGGCATGGCAAAGTGTAATGTGAATAAAATTCAAGTGGTGCTTCCAGGATTAAAGCAATGGGAATCAAATTCTTAAAGTTCTGTAGTAAGATTTGATGTCCTCTGGACTGTAGCCTTTCCTGTGAGTTTTGGAAGCATAACATGATCTCATTGAAACAGTTTCCTTTATTACAGTAGGGTAGCAACATCTCTAAATGTTCTTGGTTTTGTTTCCTTCTGCAGAATGGTCTGCCTTCAGAACAAAATCCTTACGTCTTTAACGGTGATTTTGTTGACAGAGGGAAAAATTCTATGGAAATTCTTATAATCCTGTTTGCATTTCTTCTTATCTACCCCAATAATTTACATTTGAATAGAGGAAACCATGAAGACTACATCATGAACCTGAGGTAGGTTTTAGGGGGCAGTGAGGGGGGAGTATCTGGCCTTTCACTAGAAACGTTGGAGCTTTTGAATGCTACTTTAGCCACTGTGTCACATTAAAACAGAAATAATGTTTTATTAGGTATTCAGGTGTAGCTTTGCATCTTCAGGATGTGTGAGGTGCGTAAAGAGCATCCTCATTATACACAGGCACTTGAACAGGAGTCATGTCTCTGGCCTAATCACAATCCATTGAAGTCAATGGGTTTAGTGCAGCTTCCAGAGTATCAAATTTAGGGTGGATGGAAAGATGATATTTTACTTAAAGCATTGGCTTTTCTATACCATAGCAAAAGATATAGTAATATGCAATACAATGGAACCTGTAAACCAGGAGCTGATATTTCACTTAACTTTAGACTTAGATGTCACTTCCCAAACACAAGGGGTAGGTAAATATCTGCACTTCTACATAGTGGAGGTCCATTAGCTGAGAGGTGCCAGTCTGTCCCACTGCAGGAACAGCTGAGACCCTGCTTTCTAATATAGACATTGGTATTTGGCTCTACCACAGGAGTGAGCATGGCCAGTGTCTCTGGCTGTAGTGAAAGTGCGACTTGTGGACAAAATTATCTGAATGGGATTAGAACTCCTTAGTCCTATTCTCTGTGTTTTTAAGCCGTCCCAGTAAGCCTCTGGGGGACTGGCTGGTGGGTAAACTGTTGTATCCCTTCTATCATTTGATCTGTGCAGAATATATTGCTGTTTTAACAATAAAATTGCAGAGGCCCATGTTCAAATCCTATTAATGATCCATGTAAGAGAACCAGGTTCACATGGTACCTACTTTTCCAGCACCTAATTAAAAAAACAAAACAAAAACAAACCCACAACATAAACCAAGATCAGTTACTTTGTCTACAAGGTAGGATAATTCCCCACTCAAAATAACAGAAAATATTAACTAAGTCTGTGATGGTATGGAGTATGAAGATGTATTACTGTGTATGGGTCTTTGCTGGGCATTTTGCTGTGCTGCACATCAGTAAATTTGAAAGCTGAGCGTTAGAGTGTTGCGAAAATTCCCTTTGCACCAAGGATATTTTGGTGTTAAAAGAATGAGGTATCAAAATCCATGTCCCTTGTGAGGAAAAAGGCATGACAGATTACATCATCTAATAAGGTTGAGTGATTTAGGACAAAAACACCATGGAGTTTTTGTAGGAATTTTTACCTGTTAACAGGTTCCTTGGAATTTCTCTCCAGTATCCAAAAAGTAAAACTGCTAAGCTATTTCATTTAGCTGGGAAAAAAAGCCACTTAATCATTACTGGTCTGGATTTTGCTCTTGATCACTTGTATATACAAGAAATCAGTTTAATTGAATTCTTGAGACAGAGCAGAAGAAAGCACATTTTAACTGAGTTAGAATGGCAGGACAAAAAGAAGGCAAGAAAACTCCTGGCAAACACTGTAGCACAGAAAATAATGCAGAAGGACATACTGAAAAGCAGCTCATTATGCTGTCCTATTTTCAGATACGGCTTCACAAAGGAAGTTTCGAGGAAGTACAAGGTAAGAGTCCTCCTCCTTCCCCTATATTTTCTTTATAGGCTTGCACTTGTAAAATAAAAACTGCGTAAACAAGGAAACTTCCAACCAGTTTACTTAAGTGTAGCACTGAATGACTTTAGAAATGGAGTTGGAATTATTTTGGACTATCAGTGGAATAACTGACGAAACAATTTAAAGTGTTAGCCTTTTATGCTCAAAGATCTATGGGATGAAATAAATATCATTAAGGCCACTCAAGAACACAAAAAGAGGTGAAAGTGGAAGAAAACCAAAATGCTACAGAAACAGTCAAGCAGCTCTAAAGTAAATGTTGGAACATGTTTGTTTAACATTGCATTTCAGAGACTCTCCTGGAGGGAACGTTTATATAGACTGTGGCAGACACTTCAGCAAAATCTTGGGCTTAGAAGTAACAGAATCTGCAAGAAATAGGGTCTAATATAAACCTGTGTTTTACAGGACCATGGGGATCAGATTTTGTGTCTTCTGCAAGATGTCTTTAGCTGGCTTCCCCTTGCCACTATAATTAATAACAAAGTTCTTATCCTGCATGGAGGGATTTCAGACACCACAGATTTGGATTTCCTGAATGCACTTGAGAGAAATAAGGTAAAAGATGGTATTCACATGAGGGTAATCTTGTTTTCTTTAAAAAAATAGGAGTACAAATGCTAAGATCAAGTTGTTTGCACTAGGAAAGGAAATGGCTGCTGTGTAAGGTACATAATGGGGGAAAAAAAGTCTTATTTTCCTTCTAAATCACTGTTTAGGAAAGAAAGTTTTAGTAGCCCTTGGGAGCCAATTGTTTGGCTGCTGTAAAATAACGTGTCTTTTGACTTTAAAATGTCTAAAACCACTTAAGGTACCTCCTTCCTGCAGTGATGACACATCAGCCAGGAAGTATGAAAAGTACTTAATTCTCAGGCATTTTTAGACACTTCATAAATCAATCTAGCTACATCTTGCTAGCACTGCCTTTGTCCCGCGGCTGTGCTTCTGCCATCTGCTGTGTGTGTGTTTCTCCAGCTGTGAGGCTCTCCTGTGGCAGCAGCTGAGCTTTGCACATGTGGGAAAGCCTTTCCAGGAGGATCAAACATCGAGATGTGGGCTTGAAAAAAACAGACACTACTGCTTTTCAGGGATTTGGAAGAGACAAATGTGTTTTTTTTATTTTTATATGGTGAGCAAACAAAGCTCCTTCAAATCAGTGAAAAATGGTGTGGGTCTCAATTTGGACAACTAAATCAAGATGTCTGCTTGTGATGGGGATGCTGAGGCTCCTAATAATCAGTGGACATCCAGGTCTTGTCCTTGCTCAGGCATAGGTCTCCAGTGCTGTTCATGGAAGCACCCTGTAGCCTAGGGATGTCCCCTCCAGCCTTTGCCTGCCTCTGGACAAAACCTTCACAGGTCTCCTCCACCAGTCTCCTGGGTGACATCTGCCTACCTCGTGTTAATTCACACACATGGTAGAACAACCCAGGTGGCATGAGATACACACATTTAAGTGATCTTGTGTACTTTGCCATCCATGTCTGTGGAATCAAGAGCTATTTCTCTTATCCTTGTTTTCTAATGCAGAAATAAATGCTTTACAGGACAGTTGGATGTATCTCCATTTCTTAAAGATGCAAAAAGGCCAATTAATACTTCTGGTCATGGGAGTCTAGACTCTGCTGGCTGTACTGTTTTACAGTAAAATTGGGTACCTAACTAGATGGAGGTGTCTTAATTGTGAGCTGGGTTCTGCCCACACTTCCACCAAGGCTGGGCTTAGCATGTTACTGACAGAGTATCTGTGAAAGGCAAAATTAACAAAGTTGCTGTCACAGGAGAGTGTTGCTAGTGAGACAAGTGTGGGCCACAACTTGGGGCAATATCACTTTGCCAACTGATGTATTTTAATTAGTACAGCTGGAAACTGACAGGTCTCAAATACTGGTCAGTGCACTGGGGAATAACCCGGTGTTTTGCATTTTGTTTTGCATCACTCCTTTTCTTTATTAAAGAGTAGAATTTGGGGGAGCACAGGTGTGTGTTTTGTTGTTGGGTTTCTTTTCTTTTGGAAATGAGCTAGTATGAGAAAATCTCAAATGAGAAAAAACGACAGTCAGGGGAGAGGAGTCTGTATTAACATGCATTCATGGAGCCATATCACACAGCTCCAAAAAAATCAAATGCCCATGCATATTGGAGGAGGTTGATTTAACAGTGAAAGGGCCTGATGAAATACTTCATAAATTTCACTGTTATCCTCCTGATATTCCAGTTAGCTGAATTAATAGCAGCTTGGTATTGTAGCAGAGCAGCAATGAATGCAGTTTCTTCATCAGTACAGTATAGATGTATATTTTCAGTTTCCAGTGATGCTGGGCACTTAAGTTTCCTTCTGGAGCCCACACTGTACTTGCTGTATAGTGAGCCCTTATGATTGACTGTGGCTTGGAATGAGTCTGTGGGTATGAATAAGATTATAAGAACAGCTCTGAAGAGGTTGGTCACTGATAGATAGAAAGCAAAATTTCTGCAAGTGACAAACACCTGTAGCTTTCACCAAACCTGTGAGTTCATGACATTATGAGAGTTCAATACTGAGTACAGAAAAAGGGAACTGATGTGCATTTCAGCTAACATGCTTGTATCGTCTTTATGTTCTGGTAACTCAGTCCAGTTTTTATTATTATTTTTTAAATAGGTGAAATCTTTGTTGCAGCCTCCGAAGTCAGTAAGACTCAGACAAGACCAAGTGAAGGAGAGCATTCCTACAACCAGACCCAGTGAAAAGATTGCCAGCCAGAATCTTGCACGGAAAACCCAACACATCTCTTCATCAGGCTCCACTAGGCCTTCAGGCTCAAATTTGTCTTCAGACCCTTCTGAGAAGGAATGGAAACAAGTATGTGAAACCAAAGACAGACTGATTCCAAACCCCTCCTGCACAAAGCCAGCAGGTGTTCTGTTCAGGCAGTATGTAAGAAACCCATCACTGTTGGGAGTATACTAGCCAGCTATTTGGATGCTTTTTGTAAACCTGATAAGAAAGGCTTGTGCTTCTACACAAGTACAGTTTACCCAGTGTTTTCTTCAGCCATGACGAGGAGGAAACTGCTCAGTCTGAACTGTTTGCATGCCCTCATGTGGTTGGATCTGTTGGCACATACATAGTTGTCAGCTTAAATAGGTCAGACTTTACAATTGTTTGCAATAGCAAGCACCTTTCTTTGGCTGTGGTTTTGGCAGCTAAATGCTGGTTGTGTCCAAAAAAACCCCAACTCCTACAGGCTGATTGCTCAAGAGTGAATAGTTTTTGTCCTCTGGCCTTTCATTTCCTCTTAAATATTAGAGGCAATATGGAGATCTTGTCATACTGTAATTTAATAAATTGTGACAATTTGAAAAGCATAATTTGCACAGCAATTCAGAAGCTCAAATTGAGTTTTATGTTTCTTTTTCTGAGCTTCTCATCAGACAACTGCTTTAAGAGGCAGATAGTTTTCTTTAGCTTCTTGAGAAGCCTATCTGTCTCTGAAAATGTGATTTCCCAGGATACCTATCTGACCTACAAACTAACATAATGGGCACAGGTAATGCCCCCAGATCTGACACTCCCCCAGCTAACCAAGCATTCACCTAGCCATGCACACAAAGGTGAAGTGGAATGTGTTAGTGTAAACCTTATCCAGTGAGGTTTAAACAAACACATTTTGTCTTCTAGAGCAAATTCCACAGACCAGAATTATTTGGTTAGGTAACTTTAAACTATGATAATTCATCCTCATGAATCCTGACATAATAATGTAAAATCCTATTTAGAAATGGAAGCTAACTGAAGACAATAAAGCCAAAGGCAACTCTTGTCATGTTTAGAGCAGGCACTCTCAAGCTTAGTTTAGATAAAACCACTGACCCCTATGTTTATCAGGTCTGTGAAATAGAAAAGACCCCTCAGCTACATGAGAAGAAGGCAGCTTTTGCTCTCTTTGAAGTACCCTAGGTACTATTCCCGATGTACCAATCTGGGTCTGGAAAATTCAGCTGTAAAGGAGACAGATACATTTCTGAAATGTTATTTCATCTGAAAAAAGTTCATCCAAAATCCAGGTAATGTTTAAGAAAAGCAGAACTTTCAGCTCAAAAGAATGCCCTACTAAAAGGAAAAAAAGGCCTACTTATTCAACTCAGGTGCGTTTTCTCCCAGTACTTGCAACAGCCACAGCCTGTCATTCCTCTCCTATTAAATCTTCACTTACTTGCGTATGCCATTTATAGATCCTTGACATTCTCTGGAGTGACCCAAGAAGCCAAAGGGGCTGTACACCAAACAAGAGTCGAGGAGGAGGTTGTTACTTTGGTCCTGATGTCACTGCCAAGCTGTTTAAAAAGTATAATCTGAAGATGCTCATCAGGTCTCATGAATTTAAGCCAGAAGGTTATGATATCAGTCACAATGGGAAGGTAAGATGCTTCCAAATAAAGTAGAATTCTTCTGTGAATTTCACAGGCACATCCACAGTATATTTGTCTGCAAAATGAGTGACTTCTTTAAAATGGGACTGGGGAAATTGTGCGCTAGTTAGAACAAATTAGAGTTCTGACACACACAGTTCTTTACAGCTTCAGGAAGTTGGGACTGGCTTTTTACTTGTGTGAAAACAAATGAACATCAACAAAATCCCTGTTGTGTAAATACAGTGCAAGAGATGTTTTAAGGCTCTAGAAGCCTTTTAACTTCCTACTTTCTCTTCTGAGCCTGTTTTCTGACATGGCAGCCAGCAAGAATTCTGAAAACCTGGTCTCTCTTAGAATGAGGTTTCTGTTAAATAGCATGTTATACCACACTGCCCCTGAACTGAAGTCTTCCAGTGACAGGCCTATAATACAGGCCTGGATCTCTGACTCAAAAAGTGCAAGCTCTTTGGTGAACAACATAGTTGTTGACCTCTGATTTTATATGTAGATGCTTAATTTTGGGACCTGGATGTTTTTCTAAGATCAGTTTCAGAAATCAGTCTCAAGAGTTGTTCTGGCCAATCCAGTTTCCTTGTTTCCTATGATCAGGTTATCACTATATTTTCTGCCTCTAACTATTACGAAGAGGGGAGCAACCGGGGAGCGTACATCAAACTGAATCCTGAACTGATTCCTCGGTTTGTACAGTATCAAGTCAGCGAGCACACACAGAGGCAGAATCTTCACAATAGGTAAAGTTGTGTGTTGTGTGCAGTGAGTGTGTACTCACTTAGCATGTGAGTACTTGCCACAAATCTATAGCTTGAGTAATTGAATAGGCATCATTTTCCTCGGGTTTCCTTGTAAATTTTACAATTTAAAAATTAATATAGATAGTAGACAAAACATATTCTAAGTGCTCTAATGGGCTTCCTGAGAAGCTCCCAAAGGTAATTAGTCGCAGAAAGTGGTTAGAACAGACAACTGTTAGGGACCATAAAGGGCTGGCGCCTGTCTGTCAGCTCTGCTTTAAGACTGCAGCATTAATCTGAACAAAGCCTGTTACGAACAGAGCCCAAAAAATTGATCGTGACAGCTCTGCCATGCCTAGCATTGTGGTCAGATTTACCAGTGCAAAGCATCTTAGAATTACCTGCATAAATGTGATTATCTAAAAAAAGCAGATTATTCCCCCCCCCCCCCCCCCCCAGTGTTGTCTTGTAGGATGACCCTAAACATAGTACATGTTAAAGGGTGTAAGAATTCGATTACAAATGCTGCAAAGCATAAAATGCTAGATTTAAATTTTTCAATGACATGCTCTGCACTTTTTCCCTCCTAGGGTGGGTACAATTGAATCATCTGCCTTAAAGTCCTTACGAGAGCAGATTTATGCTTACAAGCCTGAACTTACTAGTGCTTTTGCACAGTATGACCTCAATGGCACAGGTAACACTACCTCTTTGTCCACTTGCCACCATGGGGAACACAATTTCCATCAGCATAGCAGGGGCAGAGGGGACAAACCCCATGGAGAGGGGTCCTGCTTGCCAGTGTAAAGCTGGAGGTTAGCAAGGGGTGGTTGATCTTATGTTCTTCATGACCACAGGGGACAGGTGTTACCAGGTGCTTAGCCCCAGAAAACAACTTGAGGGGCTGAAGCTTTAAGTAGGAAGAAGAAAATGACTGAACCACATAGGCAAATTATGAAATAGTGTTCGTTGTTGGGCAGTTTGGGCAGGCAAATCCAGATCCAGAAGCTGAAAGGTAACGAACCACCTTCACTCAGGAGCGTCCTCAGAAGCTAGAAGGTAGGGAACCAGGGTCTCAGGTGAGAGGTAACCAGTCTCCTTCTGAGTCTGGGAGGTATCTGAGGAAAGCTTGCTAACTGGCAGTGCCCCTAGGAGACATATCTGAAAAAAAGTCAGTGGCAAACCAATACATGAACCTTTTATGTAGGAGCAAGGAGTAGATGATTTCTAGCACAGATACAACTTTTTGCTTGTGATGGCTTCTCAATTGACTGAGTTGTTATCTGTGCCCCTAAAAGGACAATCAGTTACAGGAAGGTACTGCTTCTTTGGCCACTGAACAATTGTTCAGTGTTATTTCTGTCTTGTTGGGTTTTCAGCCACGTCTCTCTAGTTGCAGCTCAGCTCAGACCTGAAGTACACTTCGTGACATTATCTGGTTTTCTCAGAAGGTATTAAGACATGCTGGACATCATAATAGCATCAAAAAGTTACTCTTCCAACCTTCCAACTTCCAAAAGTTACTCTTCCAAACATCATTAAGGTTGGAAGAGATGTGAGGAAATGCCTAGTCCAACCCTGCTGCCGACTGTTATGAGAGGTTTTATCCCAGTGTTACTGAGAAATCGTTTGTGTTTTGCAACTGTTTTTAGAAAGGGCAGAAGGCATGCTGGTGACTTGATGAGCGCTGTGTCATGTACTGCTTGTAACCATGAACTGACCCCCCTTCTGGCAGGCAGGATTTCTGTCCATGACTGGGCTGCTGCAATGGAGTCTGTCCTACAGCTGGGACTGCCTTGGAGGATGCTGCGCTCTCAGTTAGTACAGCTGACCCCAGATGGAGAAGTTGATTTCATGTCCTGTTTTTATGATCTGAAAATAAGTCAACCTGTAAAGGAGGTAAGGATGAAAATGCCTCTTAGCAAGGCTTGGAGGAACAGCTTTTGGTGCAGCTTGAGGCACAAGACAGTTGTTTGACCGATTGGGTAGACAGATACAGCTGAAAAAGACGCCAAGTTTCCTTTTATAGTTCCTGGAGGGAAATGAGCACTGCAAGGGTGCACACCATCATCATTCCCTGCTAAGGTAGATGCTTAAAATAGGTTGGATGAATCACATGCTAGAACTGCTCCTTACTTTCTGTTGATTCTCAAGGGCATTTAGATAACGTAACTGAGATGCGACAAATCCTTTGACTTCCATCTCTCCCTCTTTGAGATGAGCTTTTCAAATGTGCTCCATAGCCAATTCAGGCACCTGTCACATTTGGGAGGGAGTCACATTTGTAGATGGCCTTTTAGAGTTTTAATGGCAGGTGAGGTCTCTTTTACAGAGTCCAGCTGTTACCAAGTGGCTGCACAGTGCTGATAGCCAGTGCCATCATTTTTCTAAGCAGCGGGATCCATTCGCATATGTACAACAAAACCTTTGTACAAGCTCATGGCATGAAGCATTTTCCCTATATGATCCACATTTCCACAAATATGGGCCGGCAGTGTGCGCTCGCAGCCCAGACAGCCAACCGTATCCTGGGCTGCATCAAAAGGAGTGTGACCAGCAGGTCGAAGGAGGTGATCCTGCCCCTCTACTCTGCTCTTGTGAGACCTCACTTGGAGTATTGTGTGCAGTTCTGGTGTCCTCAACATAAAAAGGACATGGAACTGTTGGAACAAGTCCAGAGGAGGGCCAGGAGGATGATCAGGGGCTGGAGCACCTCCCATATGAAGACAGGCTGAGAAAGTTGGGGCTGTTCAGCCTGGAGAAGAGAAGGCTGCGTGGAGACCTCCTAGCAGCCTTCCAGTATCTGAAGGGGGCCTATAGGGATGCTGGGGAGGGACTCTTCATTAGAGACTGTAGTGATAGGACAATGGGTAATGGGTTAAAACTTAAACAGGGGAAGTTTAGACTGGATATAAGGAGGAAATTCTTTCCTGTTACGTTGGTGAGGCACTGGAATGGGTTGCCCAGGGAGGTTGTGAATGCTCCATCCCTGGCAGTGTTCAAGGCCAGGTTGGACGAGGCCTTGGGTGATATGATTTAGCGTAACGTGTCCCTGCCCACGGCAGGGGGGTTGGAACTAGATGATCTTAAGGTCCTTTCCAACCCTAACTATTCTATGATTCTATAAATAATTACGGAAGGTAGGAGGTGTGAAGGGCTCCTTCCCCCCCGCCCTGCCGTCTGAAAGTGCCAGATTTTAGCTCATTTTTCCTTGGGGCAAGGCACAAAGTATCATTCCGGGGAGTTCAAGCATAAGGATTGTGGTTTATTTTGAACATTTGATAAGTTAAACTGGGAAGACAGAATTGGCTAATACATATTCTGTTGGTTAGACTAACTTGAACCAAAGTCTCAATTGTTTCCTGTATGTGATTTCAAACCCAGGTTCAGCCAGCTTTGGTGGAGACACTGTGCAGATACAGAAAGGATCTGGAGCTCATCTTTAATATAATTGACAAAGATCACTCAGGTAGGTCTAGGCAGCCTCACTGCACCAGTTCTAGAAACCCTGTACCAGTTACTTTTCCCCACTGTGTCTCCTCCTCAAGACTTCCAAATATAGAGGAACCAGAGCTGATGTCATTTTTCTAGTTCAGTGAAGACTAATTTAAGCAGTCAGGCTGTAACCATATAAGGGACAGGGCACAGAGCCCAGCTTGGGAAAAAAATTCTCACAGAGCCCATCTCCAGTACTGGCTTGGCTCTTTCCGGAGGCTTTTTCTCCTTTCCACTCTCAGTATCTCACGTTCTCAAATCCACTGCTGAAAGCATTAGATAATTACCTGAAGTAAAAATGTACTTCAGTTATGAAATCAAAACATATACCCAATCCATGGTAGGCAAGTAACTTCTTTGCAGCAAAGGTGTGTGCATGCATCCTTTTGTGAATGCAGGGAGGAGAAACAGCACTGGAGAAAGCAACCTTCTGCCTGTCTCCTTTAGGTCTGATTTCCCTTGAGGAGTTTCGCCACACATGGAAACTCTTCACTTCTCACCTGGGCATTGACGTAACTGATGAAACCCTTGGCAAGTTAGTCCTCAGCATAGACTACAACAAAGATGGCTACATTGACTTCAGTGAGTTTTTAGAGGCCTTTCATGTGGTTCATAGACTAGAGAGAAAGGCAAACTCATGAAAAAGCAGATCTTGTGGGCTACCATAGCAGCTCACACTCCCATTGAAATCATAAGCAGTCTGGGAGACTGGCAATAAATTGGCTCAGTATGGTATTCCTGGCCGTCACTGTGTAAGCATTTCTTTTGTCCTTTTTGGGTGATGTACAGCTGATAGTAATGAGACCGAGATGAAAAGCCACTGCTTATGGTATTACTGTGTCACAGCCACATGAGTATCTTTACAACTTATCCTCCCCCTTGGTGACATCTCCCCCATCAGTCTAAGCCATGAACACTGCCATGGGTCCACCTTCAGTCCCATGAGAAGAGAAACTTGGGCATGTTTCTGACAGCAGCCCTTAGCAATGGCTGAGGAACAGCACTGGTGCCACAAGGAACATATCACAGCCTCCCTGGTGATATCACAAGCACAACAGAGGAAAACAAGGCAGAATCACCATATAGTTAAAATAAGCAGTTTTACTTTTAATCCTGCTCCTTGTGTGACACAGTGGAATTACAACAGTCCAAGTCACTACCTACCTTCCTTCTTAGAGTTTACAGGCACAACTCAGAAGATCTTATCTGAATGGTGTTTACTCTTGTGCGAGGTTTCCTCTTGCCACTGGTTACCTTTCCCTTCATTTCTTGGCATTTGGAGCTAAGCAACAATCATAACTTGTCACCCCAACAGAGGCCAAAGCCTCAGCATGCTCATGTCACCCATGACAGATCACTAAATAAACTTGGGCCTTCGCAGTAACATTTAAGTGTGGCGTCTTTTTGCCTATATTTTGGAATCCTGCACACATCTGAATACAACACACTCTTCCTAAGGATGAACTGTACATCTTTAAAACAAAGAAATTAACAAGAACCCCAAGTCAACACATTTTGAAGCTACCACGCCTAAATATTCTTGCATATAGTTAAGCATAAATGCTTTACCAAGTAAACTGATAAATTCTGAAACTGAGTGTTGGGAACACAGCAAGATGGAAGAGCTCAGCACCCCGCCCCCACTCCTGGGCTGCCAGCCAATACTCCTGTTCCTACCAGTCCTATCCACCTGCCCAGAGTAGGAGAGTGGAGAGATCTGGATCTCTTGCATGGCCCAGTTGGAAAGAAACAACACATGGACATGAGGTGAAGCGTGGCCAGGTCAGGCACTTTCTGAAAACAGCATTATCTAATTCAGCCTTAGTACATCCAGTGTGCCCGAAGTGCTTTTTTGGGTAGGGAAAGGTTCCAGCCCAGCCTCTCTTTAGATTTTCATGGTGCAAGACAGGCTAGGCTTTATTTAATCACAGTCCGGAAAGTACAAAACAAAGCACCCATCCCAGTTCATCATCCCAGGATGTAACAGCAGCCTAAGCTGAGGGCACTGCTCTCTTCCTTATGTCTTGCTGTCTACAGTAACTTGATAGATTAATGAACAAGCATGCACACATGTAATTCTACTGCCCAGGGGAGGGGGGAAAGAAGAATCTTCAATAGTGCAAACAAAATTTACAGTACATTTTAATGGTTGGTAATACTGTTCAATTTGAGCACACATTGACTGTTAGCTATGCTTCATGAGGGTCAGTCCCACCTTACTCCTGTGGAGCAACAAAAAAGGCTCCACCCCTGATAAACACCACTGTATGTGGTGGGATCTTGCCTCCAACCCTGGTTTCCCTGGGACAAGGTGGAAAGGGACAGTGCAGCCCTGCACTCTGCCTTTGCGACCAGCCCCTCCACTGTGTGCTCTGAGTCAGTCACAGTTACTATTGCGGGCAGTGCCCCGATGAGCCCCAGGGCTGCCTGCAGGCCTGTCTGGCCACCCCCTGAGCTGGGTAGGGGTTGGAACTAGGTAATCTTTAAGGTCTTTTCCAACTCAAACCATTCTGTGATTCTATAAAACAGCTTAGGGCAGCAGTGCCGCTCAGACTGGAAAGACGCAGTCTCAGGTTGGTGTATTTTAATTCATTGCTGCCCTTGATTCTGAGGCATGGGATGTTTGTTTGCCTTTGCCTCTTCTCCATAATGAGTTTCCAGGGACCTGAAGCTGGCTGTGTCATTTTCTACTGCTCCCCTGGAAAGCGTAACAGCCACATTGAGCCTCTGCCAGTGAGCTCAGCTCCACACAAACGGCAAAGGCATCATGTATTTTAACTGGGAGCACACCCTTGCCTCACCAATGCTAGCTCTACTTTGCAAGAGCTTAGCTCCTACCCCCTCCAGGTGGGTCCTCAGTGAAGCAGGGAGTCTATATAAAAACTTATTTGCTTAATTAGGTTTGCACTAAAATGCAACTCTCCAACTGGAATGGTTCTTTGGTCTGAATAGTAATGCAGCAGCAAGTTGGAGCTGTGCCTGAACTGCAAGTAACACAAATTTTCCTTCCATTGGCCTTTCGTTTCAGAATCCCACCCTTCACCATCAGGTACTTGAATTCAAATTGCCACCGAAATACTTTCCAGGTGCCTGCAGCCCATGATCAAAAATATACCAAACTCCTGGTATATTTGAACTGTGATTTTCAAATTAAAATACAATGATTCTCCCATTGATAAAACAAGTGCTAAGGGGGGCTCAGCTATGTTTGCCCATAGGCTTACCCAATGCGTTAGATTTCAGTGCTGCTGCCTGTAGAACCAGCTACACTGCCCTTCATGTTTCTGATAACAAAATCACACTGCAGGTAAAAGAGAAAAAAAAAAAAAAGGTAGTCTGAGGGAAAAGTCATCCTGCATCTTCGAAAACCTAGGATTCAACAGGAAAAGCAAAACCAGCTGCTACTACTGACTTTTTGTATGATACGAGATAGAACAAGAAACCATCACACAGGCTTTTGTGTGCTCATGCTCTACACTGCCATATCTGACTGCTTAAAACTAGACAAAGGACCTAGAAACAAGCTTTAAATGATCTCTCACAATATATATGAAAACAAAAAAAGAAGACAATAAAACAAACCATTATGAAGGCAAATCCCTGCACAACAGGCACTGTGCCAATGACTTCCACATCCAAGTGCTAATTGTACCTGAGCTGCACCTTTGCACCAGCTCCTCAACAGGTCCACGCTTTTCATGGTGGCTGACACAGGACAGGCCTCTCTCAGGGCATCCAGCCCAAGGGCTCCCAGGCTCCTGGGCTGCAAAACTCTCCTGCTCGCTGAAAAAAAACCACAGAATCACCTCCTAAAGCCTCCCACACCTTTGCTCTCCTTAAGCCAGTGTCCAGCCATTGCTACAAGCAGCAGTGACTCTGCAGAGGGACAGCAGGCAGGGTACTGTGGCTGTCACGAGTGCAGCCTCCCTGGAACTGTGGATGCTGGCAAGTGAGGTTTACTTCTCTGCTTTCATCAAGGTACTTCAGATATCTGTGTAAAACTGGAACCAAATATCTCATTCTCAAAAGCACCATGTACTTTTGTTACAGAAAAAAAGGTTTCTAAATCCTATAAAAATGGCATAGTTATGTTTTGAAAGAGTGGAGGGAGTCTCATGGAAATACGTTTATTATTAGTACAGAAAGCACTTTTTACAGGCCGTATCTGTTCTTTTACACTCTCCCTGGCAAGACAGAATCACTTTGACCCTCTCTGCTGACAGGGTGGCCGTGCCAGCCCACCTCCACACTGCTGAGGGAGGCTACAGCTACAGGTGCTTTCCAAAGCTGTCAGCCGGATGCATGCTGGCTGATGGCACCTGGGGTACAGCAGTGTTTTCAACTCCAGAAGCAGCCTACCTCTGTTGTCAGATTAAATGACCACAGAGCCATTTCCCTGCAGGACACACTTATTCTTCAAAAACTGGTTTCCAGTGGATAGATTCAAGGAGCAGGCACTAACATGGGAGATGTCTGAAGAAAGAGTTCAAGGCAGCCCAGCCCTAACTGCATGTGACAAGTACAACTTCAAATTAAAACAAAAAAACATAACCCCCCAAAAAATAATAACAAACAAAAAAAACCTCCAAAACAAACAAAACCCCACACCAAAACAACACCGCCCCCCCCAAAAAAAACCCAGAACCCAAACCAAACCAAAACCAACCAACCAACCAAAAAACAAACAAAAAAAAAAAAAAACCAAAAAGAAGAGAAACATCAAAGCCTTCCATAAATTCCAGCTGTGCTGGAAGGGCGGCAATTCTGCCATTCCTAACTCTGAGGCTATTTGCAAGGGAAAGGACCGGGGGACTTGGAAAGGGTGCTGGAGTGGAAGAGGTTTATCTTGCTCCATTCAGAGGAAAGGATTACAGGCATAAAACTCTCTGTCACCTTGTAGAATCTGGAGACTTGAGATTTTGCCTCCAAAGCCTCAGGGATGCAGGGAAAGAAGCTGTTTGGCTCAGATTAAAGACAGATGCAGCTCCCCGAAAGAGGCCATTCTCTTAAATCAGTGGCTATTGCAAGATATTTGTATCTGCCAGTGTTAGCACTGTACTGACTGGGTGCAAATGAGACGAGAATCAGAATAAATGTGTATTAGAAATATCACCTGGTTATTACAAGTTATTCATAGGCCTCCAATTTACATTTCCCTGGGTGTTTCACACTGTGCATTAGTGATTCACAATGATGTACATTTACACGCAGCAGGAAAAAAATTAATGAATTCCATCACTTCCCTTATTTGGGAGACTTTATGCCCGAGCTACAGCTCCTTCCTTTTATTATGCCTTAGGATCTCCACAGTGTAACCTGTTTTCCCCTTGGCAGAATTCTCTAATTCTTGCTAATTTAATATGAATTACATTGATGCACTTTGGGCAGAATAAGCCTTAGTATTTGTTATTTCCCACCCACCCCCCTAAACCCAGGCCGCATCCCACCTACCTGTCCCCTGCAGGGAGGCATGCACATAGCATGACAACCAGTGTGAAATGCTGAGGTAGTGCACGGCACACAAACATGCAGCAACTAAACCAGAAGTTCATGACAGTGAAAGAGGGAGAAGGAGCTGCTGAGCCTTCCCTCCCGCATAAGGCATTGCTTACTGCATCGCACAGCCTGTGCTGGGCAGGAAATCATGTAAATAAATAATTATGGCTTTTGTTAGGTACGTCATGGTGCCATAGGCCCCGCTTGGAGCACTGTCATAAAAAAAGTGGCAAATTCCT